TCCGAGGAGTGGCTGGTGGGTTTGAACCACCAGCCTTCTGGCTAGCAGTCAAATGCCTTAAGCGGTACGCCACCAAAGCTCCTGCCTCTTAAATTATTGAGCATAAATGAACATTAACAAGTTAATTATAGCTCATGTGTACTGATCATTGATATATATATAACTTTATTAACAGTCGTTCAGTACAGATACAATGAAAATACTTATCAACACTTTTAATCAGCTGGCAAAGCTAGATCTTTCAAAGGCATGAACTTTTCTAATGGGAAGGATATACTTTGATGCAATAGAGGGGGTCCTAGAAAACTGGAGAGAAATTTTTCCGAACTTGCAATCCAGTTGCTTAAAAGTGTTTACTCAAAAAAGTATCATAGTTCTTTTATCTTATCTGTATTATCCACAGAGGAGAAAAAATCAGTGACCGAGAAGAGTCACCTGTGTGAAACCATTTCCTGTTTTCCCTTAGTGTAAATAGTATGTGATTCTCCAGGTCCCTTGGTTTAGCATGACACTCCTGGAAAATGTTCACAGATAATAATTTGCTTTAAAGCTTTATTAGCTTACATTTTAATCTCTCTAAGGACCTGTATTTGTCTATTAGACTTAAGTGCCCTTAGACATAGCTATGTAATAAATGAAACTGTAAAGAATCATAAAAGGAAAAATATTGTAGTTAGTAATAAACTTCATTGAGTACCTTAATGTATAACTTTAGATGTTTTTAAACAGTAATGAAATAGAATAAAGTGAGGGTGGAAAAGAGTTTAGAAGAAAACAGCCTAGACATAGGTAAGGTAAAGAACAATCATTTATTCTTGCTTGGTGTACAAAACACAAAATAATGTGGAGAACTATTGCAGTGAGGTGGATTGCCTTTATATAGCCTTTCTAGCCATGGTCTTTTTAATTCCCACCAAATAATTGGGTGGTGCTACGCAAATAAGATGTGGCCCACCAAGAGGATTGGACAGGTTGATAATAATTAAACAAAGTATACGGCACCCTTGTGGGGATTGTTGTTGTGTTGTGTTAGGTGCTGTTGAGTCATCTCTGACTCGTAGCGACCCTATGCACAGCAGAACGAAACACTGCCCAGTCTTGCGCCAGCTCCATGATCCTTGCTATACTTGAGCCCATCACGACAGCCATGGTGTCAATCTATCTCATTGAGGGCCTTCCCCTCCTTCGTCACCCCTCCACCTTAGCAAGCATGACATCCTTTTCCAGGGAATGGTCCCTTCTGGCAACATGACCAAAGTAGGTGAGATGAAGTTTGGCCATTCTCGCTTCTAAGGAGCATTCCAGCTGTACTTCCTCCAGGACCAATTTGTTAGTTCTTTTAGCAGTCCACGGTACTTGCAGCATTCTTCACCAACACCACAACTTGAAAGAATCGACGAATCTTCTTCAGTCTTCCTTATTCATTGTCCAGCTCTCATAGGCATATGAGGCAATTGAAAATATCATGGCTTGTGTCAGGTGCACCTTAATCCTCAAGGAGATATCTTTGCTCCTCAGCCCTTGAAAAAGGTCCTTTGCAGCTGACCTGCCCAGTGCTATACGTCATCTGATATCCTGACTGCTACCTCCATTGGCATCGATTGTAGAACCAAGCAATGTGTGAAGTCTTTGACAACTTCAATCTTTTCTTCATTCATCATGATGCTGCTTACAGGTCCAGTTGTAAGAGTTTTTGTTTTCTTTATATTGATATGTAGTCTTCAATCTTCATCAGTAAGTGCTTCAAGTCATCCTCACTTTCAGCAAGCAAAGTTGTGTTGTCAGCATATCACAGGTTGTTAATGAGCTTCCTCCAATCCTGATGCCATGTTCTTCTTTATATAGTCCAGCTTCTTGGATTATTTGCTCAGCATATAGATTGAATAAGTATGGTGAAAGGATACAACTCTGACACACTCCCTTCTTGATTTTACCACTCAGTGTCCCCTGGTTCTGTTCGAGTGACAACCTTCTGGTCTACATACAGGTTCCTCATGAGTACAGTTAAGTGTTCTGGAATTCCCATTCTTCTCAATGTTATGCACAGTTTGTTTTGATCCACACAATCAAATCCTTTTGCATAGTCAATAAAACACAAGTAAACATCTTTCTGGTATTTTTTGCTTTAAGCCAAGATCCATCTGACATCAGCAATGATAACCCTTGTTCCACATCCTCACCCCTTGTGAGGGTGGGGCCATTCAAGTAAGGTGTACAGAAGTCTAATGAGGGATTGGTCAGTTATGCTGTCCTACTTCATTCATCATGATGAATGAAGAAAAGATTGAAGTTGTCAAAGACTTCACACATTGCTTGGTTCTACAACCAATGCCAATGGAGGTAGCAGTCAGGATATCAGTTTAAAATTAACTATTCAAGAGGCAGAATGAGGGGACCTCACTACTACCAAGAAAGAAGAGCCAGAGTAGAGTGCATCCTTTTGACCAAGGAGACAGACAGAGCTGTAGCATAGTAGAATGCGTGAGACGGTACGAAGCAGCAGCAGAGAAGTGGGAGCAGCAGAACCAGGAGATCAATGAGAGACAGTGCAGTGGGCTTCCCAGCCCATGGAGTGAGGTGCCTACAGTGGGCATGCCAACCCACAGAGTTGAGCACTTCCAGGCAGGAGGCTTGCTGTTGTAGTGGGATGCCTCAAGGCACTTATCCACTGAGCTAAAGGGCTTTGTAACACTTGCCGAAGCAGAGCAGAGGCCACCCTGAGGGGATCAGGGCCAAGGGAGAGGCTGCCTGCAGGCATGGCAGAGAAGCTGTGCTGACCCAAGAACTGTATCCAGAGTTGTTCCTGATCCTGAATTGTAACCTGTGACTTCCCTAATACACCCCATAATCATGAGTATTGTCTGTAAGCTCTGTTTGGCTATTGCAATGAATTATTGAACCCAGCAGAGAAATAGAGAGTGCCTTGAAAGGAACAGCTGGTGTCAGAATTAGTAAAAAGGTTGGATGATAGAGGTAAATTTAACCTCCACCTCATAGGAATCAGCCTTGGACTGTTGCTGTTAGTGATTCTATCTCTTCACCCTCCTGAAGTTAAAGGAGGTCAGACGCTGTGCTGCCATTTTTTTTTTTTTTTACATGAATGTTGATCCAAAATACAACTAAAGACTAGAAAGTTAAAATAAGAATACCGAAAATCAAGTTCAGGATTAGAAAGAATCCAAAGTCATTTAAAAAGGGAAAAATCAAAGCTAAACACACATAATCTCTCAAATTACCTCTTTTGTCTTTGATAGGATTTATGCATTAGCTCATTTGTTTATTATTTCAGTGATTATTATGGAGTACTCATTGTACCTTAGGTAGTATGCTGAGTGATTGGACGCAGTGATGAACATGAGAGTAAGGAGTCCTTAATGAGCTTACAATCAAGTGGAGGAGACACATAAACGAGCAGTCATCACAGGAATGACAATGTGACAGCAGAAATATAGGATGCTATAGATGACAAAAGAAGTAACCTAACCCAGATATAGGAAATCCCTGAGTGGTGCGAACAATAGCACCACTCGATTGATTGTATTAAGCTGCTAACCAGAAGGTTGGAGGTTTGAGTCCACCCAGAGGCACCTGAAAGGAAAGGCCTGGTGATCTCCTTCCAAAAAATTAGCCATTGAAAACCCAATGGAGACTAGGGAGAAGGCTTTTCAAGTCCAGGAGGGAGGTGAAAGTGGTCTGGACAGAAGAAGCAGAGCTAGTACCACAGCTCTCATAATGTTGTCTGTGGATTCCTGGGGGAGGGGGGTAGGTTCCCAAGACCACTTCAGGGGGATGCAAAGTCAAAACTTCTTTTCGTAATAATACTGAGATGCTGTTTGTCTTTTTCATTGTTGATTTTCACACTGATGTTTGTACAAATGTAGTCACTCTGGTAGCATGGTGCCTAAGACATTTGACTACTAACCAGAAGGCTGGCAGTTCAAACCCACTAGCCACTCCTTGGAAGGAAGGTTGGGTAATCTACTTCTGTAGTGATACCACCTTGGAAACCCAAGGAGGGGTGGTACAAAAATGACAAGGAGGCCACATGTTCTGACCTCCTCTAATCTCACAAGAGGAAGACAGGATTACCAGCAGTAACCCAAGGCCTATTACTGCAAGGCCAGACATGCTGC